TAACAAAAGTTGTTGTAAAATAACAATATTACCTTAAAAAAAATAATTGTCAACAAGACTATGTCTTGTTTATAAAATCGTACTGCTTGCTGTGTTACCAGCTTAGAGGTATGAAGGAGTACATGTCAGGAGTTGCAATTTGGCACAGAGTATTAAGTGCCCAAATCATGCGCGCATAAAAAAACCTGACTTGTAGGTACTCGGGACCGAGAACCGAGTGAAAGTAAAATACAAAATGGCGACTCTCTCTACAAACAGGCAAACCGAAGTCAGGTGGTGAGAGTACCACCCACAGTCGTTCAAGGAAATGGACTCTGACCCTAGGACTGAACACGTAGTATTTTCTTTCTTAAATAAAATTTGTAATCTAATTTTGTAAATTTGGGAGTGCTTCAAATATGACATTAAAACAGGGTTTTATGTCGTTACAAGTAGGTTTTTTAACATTGTCTAGTATAGTAAAATCGTGGGACCAGTAAAAATTTGACGTTATAATCAGGTTAAACTGTATATTGTTTGTGCAAAAAAAAAAAAAAATAATTTCGGACGATACAATAGCCACGATTATTTTTTTCAAAGACGAGAAATTTTCGTTAGGCATCGACAAAAATTCAACCCGGGCCGACACGCAACGGAGAGAAATTTCGAAATTGGATAGGTTAATTTCATCGAAAATGCATGGTGGACGACCTCGTGGTCGTGGCTGGCGAAGTTTGAACGATCGCGCCCAAAAGCAGCGATACCAAAGAAGATTGGAGAATGAGAAAGAGATCCGCTTTGAGCGTCAAAGTGATTCCGCTTAGTAGTGTCTCCGAGACATAGTCGTGTCCCAAATACGGTTTTGCCGTTTTACTTGATTAATTTAACCTTTTTGGTTAATATTTGAATAATATAATATTTTACCAGTTTTACCAGTTTTACCAGTATTATACAGTTGTCCAACAGAAGAGTAATCTATCTTATTTACAAATCTTTTCAAAATAGACAGTTTGACCGTGCCCTTCTAAAAACCGGGCCCTAGACATTTGTCTCATTTGTCTATGCGATGATCCGGCCCTGTTTATAGAAATACAGTACGTATCATTCGATATAACGTTTTTGACTGATGTTTATATTAAAAAAATGTATACAGTATTCACGTTTTTAAAAATTTAACACATCATCGTGAACAAAATAAAACTGGAAAAGTCTCAGATGTATTCCATACACAACTGATTAGAACACTAGAATTACGTGTAGACGATTCGAAATGTGCCCTGACATCAAGATATATAAAGTGTGTCTCAAATACAAGCGCTGAGACAAGTCTGAATAACAATACCATGTATAGTAGAAAGCTTAATCATTAGTGACGCTACTAAAGTGTGTTTAATGTACTGTAGTCAATCAATTCTCCAATTTACAGAAGCGTCAGAAACTTTATAAAGAAATAACGTGTAATGTGATTTATTCCTTGTTTTTTCATTTTAAAATTTTTGTCTTTTTTCAAAGCAAATCTCTTTATTGCTATGTATAATTTGCTGTGTGATATCGTAAATGTGCATTTAGATTATATTGTAGGCTATGTATTTATATACTATAGATTTTAACAGTTGTTTATGAAGCAAATGTTAACATCCACATATCTTTAATACTCAAAAAGCGATGTATTAAGCATTTTATATCGTAATATGATAGTTTGTAACTTATATATAGGCATTTTATTGTGTTTTAGTTCCGTTTTCGGAAATTAGTTTGATGTTGTAACTCATTATAATTTTTCCCATTTAAAATAACAGGAAAATGGCTCCAGATTAGCGTTTTCCTGCAAAACTTCTGATTTTCAGAAACGAATTACTAAGAGAGAAATATGTGTAATTCATTAGAAATAATAGCAGTTGAAATTGGATCTAATGGAAAACAATGATCGTTGTTCCACTGGCGTAATTAAAATTAGGATTCGTTTAAAATTAGGATTCGTTCATAAACCACGTATCTTATTTTGTTTAAGGTTTAAACCGCACCTCTTCCCTTAGTAGTCAAATGAGTTTTTTCGCGCCCAAAAATCCATTTGGAAATTTCAAGACTCCTTTTTAGAATAATTTCGTCCAGAAGTATAATGAAAAAATAAAGTTTAGTAACACAAGCTACACTTGAAATATATATACTGTATTAAAATTTTAAACTAAATTTTAAGTTTCTGTATTTAAAAAAATATTCATATTTACGACTTTCAGAAAACTGAACACAAGTTACATTTTTCTCATATTGGCTCCAATGTGTTTTCAATTTGAACTAAAGCTATTTCGTTTTTGCTAATTTACTTCAAAACTTCCGGAGGATTCAGTGATGTCTGTCTGATTTCTTCTTTCACCACTTCTTTCNCGTTAAAATTTTATAATAATAAAGTTGTTAACTGGAAAATTTTTCAGATATTCTAATACCACATTCCATCTGTCAAAAAATAACAAAAAACTCCAGTGTAGAAAGGTACTGTTTACAAATCACATCAGCCATTAATAAGTTAATATTGCTATAAGAGACTGGTGCAAATAGATCTGACCTAAATTAAATACTCATTTATTTAATTTTGACTATTAATAAAAAGTTAACTTACGTTATACTCAACTACCAGTCCTCTCCCGTAGGACCGACGTGGTAGCCATGCAACTCGTCCGCCATCTTGTCTTCACTTTCTACATATGCTTAAACGTAAACGATAATCGCACAAATAGAACAGTTTAAAATATTATTATTATTTTTTTAATTTAAAATTGAATATTAATATTAAAGTATAATTGAGAAAAATGTAAACTTAATTAAATTTCATTTTAAAATAATAATAATAACTTTAATTTAATTTAATTAATAAAACGTCGCTTGTTTTAAAACTTTCAGAAATAATTATCTATTTAATGCTGGTATACTTAGAAGAAAAGTCATCTAATTGAATGTCACGTGATCGATTTTTAAAAAGATAAACAAACGTCGTTTCCGAATTAATTTTTGCGATAATGAAAACAGGAAATTGTTAAGAGTTTCTACAGTTTAATTGCTTACTGATGTGTTTTGGTTTAATTTATTTGTGTGTATTCCGCAAGGTGTAATTTATTTAAAGTTGAACTTCATTTGTGATGTAGAATTTCTGCTTAATTATATTATCAAAATACATCATGCGTATGATTAAACAAAATAAATGCTTTCATAAGCTAGAAAACCAATTAATGTTTTTTTACATAATTTATTAATAATACAACACATAAATATATACATAATTATTAAACAAAAATTCGGATGATAGTTTACATTAAACAAATAGCATTTTTACTTCAAAGTTTCGGCTAATATAATTTATAATAATAACATTATGGCGCTTATTAATTATATTTGGTTAGCTTTAGTAAATATTAATTATATTAATAAAATTAATGCTTGCAATTACAATGAAAGAGGAAAGAAATTAATTACGGAATATTTTAATCTTAAGGATTAAATAAATATCTTTATTTTAAAAATTAAACTATATCTTTAGAGTTAAAATATGACACACAAGTCAATCAAAATTATTAAATTAATTAATTAATAAATCGTATAAGACAATCAAAATTTTACATTCAATGGATTCGGAAGGATACTGTACTATATTAAAATAGCCGTTAAACTTTCTAAATGACTCTTTTAAATCTCATGTTTATTAATTTCTAATACAGTCGACCCCCTATAACACTATTGATTATTCCGTTTTATATGAATTCCATGTTGTACGAGTCACTTAGATTTTACAAATACGTGTGCCGGACTGTGAACGGCTCACGTATTTGTAAAATCTAAGTGACTCGTACAACATGGAATTCATATAAAACGGAATAATCAATAGTGTTATAGGGGGTCGACTGTATTAGAAATTAATAAACATGAGATTTAAAAGAGTCATTTAGAAAGTTTAACGGCTATTTTAATATAGTACAGTATCCTTCCGAATCCATTGAATGTAAAATTTTGATTGTCTTATACGATTTATTAATTAATTAATTTAATAATTTTGATTGACTTGTGTGTCATATTTTAACTCTAAAGATATAGTTTAATTTTTAAAATAAAGATATTTATTTAATCCTTAAGATTAAAATATTCCGTAATTAATTTCTTTCCTCTTTCATTGTAATTGCAAGCATTAATTTTATTAATATAATTAATATTTACTAAAGCTAACCAAATATAATTAATAAGCGCCATAATGTTATTATTATAAATTATATTAGCCGAAACTTTGAAGTAAAAATGCTATTTGTTTAATGTAAACTATCATCCGAATTTTTGTTTAATAATTATGTATATATTTATGTGTTGTATTATTAATAAATTATGTAAAAAAACATTAATTGGTTTTCTAGCTTATGAAAACATTTATTTTGTTTAATCATACGCATGATGTATTTTGATAATATAATTAAGCAGAAATTCTACATCACAAATGAAGTTCAACTTTAAATAAATTACACCTTGCGGAATACACACAAATAAATTAAACCAAAACACATCAGTAAGCAATTAAACTGTAGAAACTCTTAACAATTTCCTGTTTTCATTATCGCAAAAATTAATTCGGAAACGACGTTTGTTTATCTTTTTAAAAATCGATCACGTGACATTCAATTAGATGACTTTTCTTCTAAGTATACCAGCATTAAATAGATAATTATTTCTGAAAGTTTTAAAACAAGCGACGTTTTATTAATTAAATTAAATTAAAGTTATTATTATTATTTTAAAATGAAATTTAATTAAGTTTACATTTTTCTCAATTATACTTTAATATTAATATTCAATTTTAAATTAAAAAAATAATAATAATATTTTAAACTGTTCTATTTGTGCGATTATCGTTTACGTTTAAGCATATGTAGAAAGTGAAGACAAGATGGCGGACGAGTTGCATGGCTACCACGTCGGTCCTACGGGAGAGGACTGGTAGTTGAGTATAACGTAAGTTAACTTTTTATTAATAGTCAAAATTAAATAAATGAGTATTTAATTTAGGTCAGATCTATTTGCACCAGTCTCTTATAGCAATATTAACTTATTAATGGCTGATGTGATTTGTAAACAGTACCTTTCTACACTGGAGTTTTTTGTTATTTTTTGACAGATGGAATGTGGTATTAGAATATCTGAAAAATTTTCCAGTTAACAACTTTATTATTATAAAATTTTAACGTATACACTATATGAAAACCAGTTATTACATCCTCAGGCTGTAGTCAACTCCTCCTCCCAATTTCTAGTATAAACTTCTCTGTAATTGGAACGTAATGATCATCCATGCTAAGTAATAATCATCATTTCATGTTTTTCTTAATATAGTTTAAAATCTGATCTTAATCTTTCACTTTACATAACTAAATTCTCTTAAAGTGGATTATTACTTTGCTTAATGGCTAATTTGATAAATATAATTTTTCTAGTTTTTTTTTCAGTTTATATATTTTTTTAAAGGTACAGTACAATACATACTAAAAATTTGTTTTCTTATTTTGTAGGCTAGAGTATATGATTTTATGATAATGAATAACACTAACAAGTAGTTGTGAGGTTCATAATAATGGTTTTATCATTAAATATAAATTGTTATATGTTTCACTTAATGGAATTTTTCTATACACAATATACAAAAAAAAAATATTTTATTATTTTAAGATAAAGTAAAATATTCAAAACTTAATAATAAATATTTTCAAGTACTTTAAGTTAATTGTTTTATTTTAATAAATAGCACTATCAATTTTAATTTTCTTATTTGTTGTTTTAATTCATTATAACAAATATATTTTAAAAATATTAAAATTACTAAAGTTTTTAGCATTTTTAAGAGTAGCATCTATGAAATAAAAAAGAAGCAATAAAGAAGCTATTACAGTCTTTAAAGTTATAAACTGTAATATAATTTTTATTTGCAAACATCACGTAATATGTCTGATATTTCTGATTTCTTAAAAACATTGTCTTACAAAGATGCTACGAAGAAATAAAAATTTTCATCCAATATTAAATATGTTGCTAACACATACTTATTTTTCTTATTTTTATCTATTCATTCCTTTTTATTTAGATTACATTTTATATATAATACCTTCAGAAAAATGATATTAAAAATAATTTTTTTTATTTATTCAATAGGGAAAGCATAGCAATTTCATAGTTTATTATAAAAATGAATATTAATGATAGATTATATATAATATAGATTATATAAAATATGTCTTTTTTGTATCAGATAAAAAAAATATATTATTATTAATGCTAAAAGTAAAGTAAAAGTTAATCTTTCTGATTAGTAAAAATACATCGACAACAGTTTTGTTTGAGTTGAAAAATTATTTTTGTGGTGAATATAATTAATAAATTATATTTAATTAAATACTAATTGTATCTGTAATTTAGAAAAAATTTAAATGTCAGATCATCATCCAATTTATCCAGGTACTGTATCAAGAGCTAATACATTAATATTTACTAATGGATTTAAAATTTAATTTTATTAGTAAATAAATTTAAAATTACTTTGATATATATTTAAGAGTTAGAACATTTAACATTAACATTACTAAATTATTTGTTTCCATCATTTGATTACTAGAATTTTTTAAAATATTATTTCCAGTATTATTCAGTGAATAATAATACAGTCGACTCCCCCTATAATACTGTTGATTTTTCCGTTTTATATGAGTTCCATGTTGTACGAGTCACTTAGATTTTACAAATATCTGTGCCGGGCTGTGAATGGCTCACGTATTTGTAAAATCTAAGTGACTCGTACAACATGGAATTCATATAAAATGGAAAAATCTACAGTGTTATAGGGGGATCGACTGTACTATCAATGATTAAATATATTTGTAGTATAAATTAATTCCCAAACAAAAATAAAAACAATAATAAAATAATTGAACCAGATATTGTTAAAAACTGCAAAGCGTAATTAATACATGATGCTTTTTATATTTTTATATTTAAATTATCTTGAAGATATTTTTATTTGAAAATTTTTAGCTTTACTGTAATAATAATGAATTTTAACAAGCTAGATAATCAGTTAAATATATATATATATATATAATAGTGAAATAATATTTAAATTTTACATAATTGATTTGCTAATCAAATGTATGAAAAGAAAAATTATTTACAGTAACATTGTTGTAGTAAATATGTTAATGAAAAATAATAAAAATAAAATACTAGCATTTAACTAGTCATGACATAAAAATTATCCATTGTTATTATATGTTAAGTATTTTATCAAGTGATGTAATAATAACCAATTAGGTAATATAATACGAGTAATTAAATTTAATAACAGAAATTTGAGGTGTTAAAGTTATTTTGTAATATTTTTACATTTGTTTTTGTTTTAAATAATTTTATAATAGCTTAAAATAATAATTATAAATATTTATTACAAACAGAATATTTTCCCTCATAACAACATTAATTAGACAAAATAGATTGTATTAGTAGTATTATATCAAATGGCAGGTGAGTCCTAATTAAAAAAGAAAACATGTTTTCAATTTTAAAAGTATACAAAAGTTTTATAAAAATATTTATAAATTTAAAAACTGTTTTACTTAATTTTTTAATAAAGTAATCTCAGTCATACATTTCTTTATTATAATTTCTTTTGAGCAAGGAAAATTTTTCATGAAAAGAAATATTAATATAGCTTATTTATTTTGATTATATTACGTTGGTTTTTATATTAAATAAAATAATATAAATTCTAAATTAAATAATTCTAGATTGGATACAGTTGTAAAGAAAGTGAA